TAGTAAGAACACTTCAAAGCTGCTGGGAAGCCGTCCGCTAGACGTGACAGCCCCATGTCACCCACAGTTACCTGAGTGTCGATGCTGCCTTCAGGAGGAGCCACCAACGCACACCAAAGGGGGCAGGCAGAGTTGCTACCGACCGGGGGTTTCTGAATCAAAATCCTTGATCAGAAGCAAAGGAGCTCCTTTCTCTTTTTATTTCCCCCACTTGGCCTGCACGGTTTATTTTTTTTCTCATTGGCATAACTTAAATACTGCGTAGGTGGTGGCCACCGATAGCTCCTGAATACGGTGCGAGTTAATGTACAGCTTTCTGCCAGGGCCCCGCCGCTTGAACCCAGGATGCTGCAGCTCCCCGCTTGCTGGAGCAACCCTTGGGTTTTCTCTAGCAATATATACACGTACGTATTTGAGGGGTAGATGGGATGGAGGAAATGAAATTTCTCGTGTTTCAAAGCAGCGATGCAGCAGTCACGCTTCGGCTAGGTCGTAGTTTTCATAAACTTACTTTAACGGGAGAGGAACTGGATTAAAACACATAAAAATTGTATCTCATGGTTCAGCCCTTACGTTGAGTCCACCGATGAGGACTGGAGGTCAGGGTCTTCTGTCGAGACATGAGGAAAAGGATACCCTGACTCCAGAGTGGATATTCATGGGAAATACTTCAGAGGTTTTTCACATCTTTTACCCCAAAACTAGACGATCCTTTTCCCCAGAGGTTATATAATGTGGATTTAAAAACAAGGATTGCATTTTGCTTTCTGAACGGGCATTAGACTGTCGGTTCCCTAGCGTTTGTTTCTTGTTGATACCAGTATAAAAGGTGGTGTCATCCGAAAATTGGAAGGGTTTATTAAAGCATAGTGTCTGTCATCTCAGACCTCGCAGGAGTCGTGTAATGGAATTATCACTGTAAATACGTGGAGGAGACTTAGATGAATTGGAGCGTAGGCTTTTAGTTTTCACGAAGCTATGAATAAAAATTTGTAAATTTACTCGATCTAATGTACATTTTTATGTAGCCATTAAATTCTCTATTTAATCTATCAGTTTCTCACTGTAAATGTTTTTACTCTCAGTTGAATGCTGGGCACAGTTTGTAATGTATGTACACAAAGGTGTTCTTTTCTATCAACGTTGACTTTTTTGCACATTTTTGGAAATATTTAATTTGTACACTGATTTAATACTCTGACCAATTGTTGATGGGTGTATGAGGATCACGTGTGTGTGCAATGTACTACTGTCTGGATGTATGGTTTTTTTATTACTTTTGAGATGTTGCTACCAGTAACTGCACTGCTGTTGCTGCTTTACATGGAATATCTTGTGTATAAAAAAAGATAAAAACAATTAAAAAATTAGCCTATGGTTATCTTGGTTGAGGAACTCAGGAGTTGAGCGTTGCTTACTAGTTCCGTTTGTCTGACAACCTTCCAAACTTAAAAACAAAGAAACAAACAAAACCCCCTTGTAATTCTGTGTATGCATTGAATGTGTGTGTATATATATCCCAGTAATCTTATTCCACAATTTCATTTCTACATTTTTATGAACTTGTTTTTTAAAGGTACTATGTTTAGTTAGAGTAATTAAATATATAAAAGCTTTGA